AAGGAATTGCGTTCCAATCACAGCAGAAAGAGAGTCCAGAAATTGATACTGAAACCATGGAACAATCAATTGCTTTCCTAACAAAGAATTTCAACAGAGTTCTCAAAAAATTCAACAAATTTAGAAACAAAAGTGCTTCAATCAATCAAGGGAACTTCCAAACTGGACAAAATCAATCTATTTCACAAGGAAGGGAGAGTCCAAAATCTGAAGGAGTTCAGTGCTACCAGTGCAAAGGGTTTGGACACATCCAATCAGAATGTCCAACATACTTTAAAAAGAAGAACAAAACATATATGACAACACTAAGCGATGACTCAGATAGTGAAGAAGACACCAACACTTCGTAGCATTCACCGCAAATCATGAGAATGACAACGGAAATGAAAATGATATGCAAGAACTGCTAGAGTCATATACCCAGCTGAATGCTAAATGGGAACAAATCATCGAAGTGAATCTAGAGCTCATGCAAAAATATCAGTTTCCAAAAGGTGAAAAAGAGAGAGAAGAAAAACGCCTCAAAGAAACTCAAAGTGAATTATTAGAATCTAAAAACAGAGAGGCCAAACTGTTACAAGAAATCAAGGTACTAACTGAAAGGCCTAAATCTCAAAACTCAGCTTCTGAAGAAAGCTACGTACAAGTTCCAGAGGTGTCACAACATTACTTCCAACATCGAAGAAGAATCAGATGCTATTACTGCCATAGATTGGGACACATAAAGGCATACTGCTTTAAAAGACAAAATGATCTCTATTACAGACAAAACAACAGAGATTAGGCAGTACAAAGCAAAAGTAACAGCAAGAAAATTTGGATAAGAAAAGATCAGAATGTTGCCTACACCTCAAAAACTAGCAAAGAACAAAACGTATAGTATTTTGACAGCGGGTGTTCAAGGCATATGACTGGAAATCCAGAAAACCTGGAAAACATTCAGTATAAAAATGAAGGACATGTTACCTTTAGAGATGGAGGAAAAGGCCAGATCATTGCAAGCGGCATCTTGAATGTCCATGGGCTGGCTAGGTTACCAAAAGTCCTCCTAGTACAAAGTCTAAAAGCAAATCTAATCAGCATAAGTCAGCTTTGTGAAGATAAACTCAAAGTATAATTCTCTAAAGACAATTACACTGTGATTAATCAGAATCACAAGTGTGTCATGATGGGAAAAAGGTCCGCAAACAAATGCTATACATAGGATGGTGACCTATCTGGTTTACAGACAACTATCAAGCAAAACAATCACGACACCAACATATGGGACACATAAATTCTCATGACATCAAGGGGGACCAAGGAATATCCCTAGATTATTCATCAAACAGTACGGCTTTCAGTATAAACAGTACAATGGAATCCATGAATAAGGTTATTGATGGCACAATTTATACAATGACAACTAATGATGACGAAATTCCTAGAGTTGTTGAAACAACGAGTTTTTTTCCCAAAATAGTCCCTCGACTATCGCTTATTCTCAATTTTGCATTTTGAATTTTAATTGCACCCAATGTGGTCCCTTGACTTTTAAAAACTCCCCCAAATTGGTCCTCCGTTAGAAATTCCATCTATTGAGTGTTAAAATGAAGGGCATTTTCGTCCATTCACCTATTATATGCCTAATATACTCTGAAAAATAGTCGAGGGACCATTTTGGGAATAGTCGAGGGATCAGTTTGAGAAAAACTCATTTATTTATTTCCATTTTTTAACACTATCAAATTAGAATTTCTATACATTTTTTTTCTTACAAATATAAATAGTTAAAATCCACAATCAAATCTCAAAATTTTAAACGTTCTCTACAATATTTTTCCTTTTGTCTAAACGTACAAATTTTTCCCCTATCCCTATCAAGTTTTACAATAAATTTCGTAACATTCATAAATACTCATATATATATATATATATATATATATATATATATATAAAATCATATAATCATATTAAAACTTCAAAAGACAATCAATCACTATGTATTACATTAAATATTATTTTTATAGTTAAAATGAAATTATTATGTTTTTTACGTACTATGGTAAACAAGTTTAAATTTTAAATTTAAGTTTATTAACATTCATATATAAAATACAAACAAACTTCAAAATGACAAGAACTTGTAATATTGGTAAATGATGTGACTTTAGGTTTAGAATTGTTTGTTTTATGCTAATTATTTTTGCATTTGGTTTATTTTACTTGTCCTTTAAGACATAAAATTTATAGCCATAGTTCTAGACTCTCTTTAGCATGATGTACTTCTGGGTATATAGGCATTTGGAAATGGTAGCTATGGTTTGTACTAACTTTGGAATGAAACTAATGGCCTTACAGGCTAAGTTAAGCCAACTTTCCAAAAATATTTTCTAAGATTTTGTCATTGACCGAGAAGTGACGCGTACTTCTCAGTTCAAAGAAGTGCCAGAGCATAGCGATTGATTGTAAAAATAACAATTTTATTTTCGAAAGGCATAGTGACCAAGAAGTGAAGAGTACATTTTGGGTGTCTAAAATGATAAAAATAGTAATGTTAATTTCAAAGGTAAAAATAATATTTAATATAATACATAGTGATTGATTGCCTATTGAAGTTTTAGTGTGTGTGTGTGTGTGTGAACATAAAAAAAGTATATGAGTACTATATTTTTGAAATTTACAGAACTTATTGTAAAACTTGATAGGATTAGAGGAAAAGTTTGTATGTTTAGACAGAAGGAACAAATTTGTATAGAAAGTTTAAGATTTTGAGGTTTGATTGTGAATTTTAACTATTTATATTTGTAAAAAAAAAATGTATAGAAACTCTAATTTGATAGTCTTACAAAAATGGAAATAAACAAAAATGAAATAAATAAATGAGTTTTTCTCAAAATGATCCCTCGACTATTCCCAAAATGGTCCCTTGACTATTTTTCAGAGTATATTAGGCATATAACAGGTAAATGGACGAAAATGCCCTTCATTTTAACACTCAATAAACGGAATTTCTAACGGAGGACCAATTTGGGGGAGTTTTTAAAAGTCAAGGGACCACATTGGGTGCAATTAAAAGTCGAAATGCACAATTGAGAATGAGCAATAGTCGAGGGACAATTTTGGGAAAAAACTCTTGAAACAACTGTTCTAATACCTCTGACTACTGTTATGCAGAATCACAAAACAGAAACAGAACCAGATGAAGAAAAGGATAAAAGGCAATCTATTGATTTAAAAATTCAGAAAAATCCTCCCCTGGAAAATATCATAGGAGATCTCAATCAAGGAATCAAAACTAGGGGAAAGAAACAATATTACCTCAAAATGGCCGAAGAAGATTATTGTTTTACCTCCAGGTTTGAAACAAAGAATATTGATGTAGCACAAAGAGATCAATTCTGGATAGAAACCATGCAAAAGGAACTACAACAATCTGAAAGAAACAATGTCTGGGAATTAAGTATCTAAACCCAAAAGATGCTAATGCTATTAGAACAAAATGGATAGGTGTTGACAAAGCACTACTTGTTAGGCACTATGGTCAGAAAATTAAGATAGCACAAACCTACAATAATAACATAATATTCATGGGCTCTGCTCGTCTGTTTGATCTGAATGCAAGGCTAAACTGTGAGGCTGATGTTGAAGAAGTTGCGATGGGCCTAATGAATGAGATAGCTGAAACTGTATTGAATGAGGTAGCATTGGTAGAGGAAGCTAAGCAGGAGGTGCTCCTTTCCTTTGACCATGGACGATCAAATAGATCATCAAAAATCAAATCGAAGGCTAATTGGAGACTTGTTCCCAGAGATTACTCAAATTAGCGAAGGAGGTGACCTGTCTATATCTGATATCGCGACTGGTGAGACTGCCAGATTGAAGGAAAACTCTCCGATTGTGACAATCTTAATCGGGGAATGGGAGGATCTAGGGAAATCGAAGGAGAGGATTGCTCTGGTGGGGCTTTTTTTGCGAGAGAGCGTCCGCCTTTGGACTGCCTTAGGCTGATCAGAGAGTGATCGAAAAAGAAAATCTTTTTGTAGCTGTCAAGAAAAGAAGAAAAGAATGATGAAGCCACAAATAAAGATTCAAGACAGCACTAATCAGATAAGAGAGATATGTGGAATCAATTAAGGGGGAGAAAAATCATTAATCAAGCCACTATGAGATCAAGATTTTTGCCAAAAATTTGACAAAGGGGGAGATTGTTGACTCAAAGTGTTTTGTCAAAGTTATGTGCAAAAACAATTCCAACTCTATAATGGCATGTTTGGTTCGTGGAATAGGTCAGGAGTGGAATAACATTCCTTGGAATAGACCTATTCCGTCGTTTGGTTGGATCATTTTGTCATGAGAATAACATGTCTAGGAATGAGCTATTACCTTTGCAAGGGGAATAGCCATTCCTAGGGGGGCCTTGGTATTGAGCTTTTAGTGGATTTAGGCAAGTTCTCAAATTGAGAAGTGCCTCGCAGATTAGGGTTGTTTGCCCGAACCGCGTTACAGATCGTTTGTGTTACAACGTCAGTTTCAACATCACTGTGTGCTGAGATTATATATATTTGACTTCTGATTTAATGAATTAAGTCTTTTATATAAATAAAAAAAAATCCATTAGAACCATGCATGCATGGCGAAATATTACTACAGTATATGACATTTAGAATGTCAAATTGAAAAGTCATTTAATACTAGCTAGGGCAAATGTGTACTCTAGTTAACTATGGAATAGCGATTACAACAAGAGGAATTTTCTTGTGACATGTAATACCAATTCCTTCATTCATATCCAATTTTTCTTCTCCCTCCCAATAAAAAATCAAACTCACGTCCAATGCAAGCTCAACCGTAGTAACCCCAAAATTAAAGTCAAGCAAGGGAAACTCCTCTGCCCAGCTCGAAATGAAATCAATTCAAAATCCATTCCCTTATAATCCACATTAGAATTCAAGAACCTCTTTGGCTTAAACATTTCAGAGTTTTCCCATATTGTTGGATCTCTTCCAATTCCCCAACTATTAACAAGCACGTGGGTGCCGGCTGTCACATGGTAGCCCATTACTTTCCGAGTGCTCTTCAACTACTCCCAAAATGAATTCATCCAATTCTTTAGCCAATTTCTCCACCCTTCTATCAAAACCATTAATTCTATTCACCCATGCAAGCCAAGGATTGTAATCCCCTATATCTACTACCCCTAATACTTTAATATATTCATCCAGCAAACCCATGATATCCTTTGTCGCCGTCTCGTCGTTTCGCCCATGCTCCACACTATAGTACTTTCTCCCCAAAGCCACCCTACATATTATATTATTGTAAAGCCACAATAAAATATCAGTCAAGTTTATAGGGGAACCACATGATTGTTTGATCTTTTGGACCATCAATTGTGTTTCCTCTTCTCTGACGTTGCCAAAGGACTGCACCCTCTTGTTGCTAAGAAGGTGGAGCACGCAAATGCTTCGTACTTACCGCCAGTACACGCCGTAGGGGGCAAAGGCAACATCCTTGGAGCCGTATAACAGACGGTCGGTAATGCTGGATTTGGGGCGGTCGGAGAAGATCAAGTCGTGGTCTTTCATGATCTCTCTAGCGACGTCAGAAGAGGAAGCCACGAGGACCGGCACGGAGCCGAATTGAAGTAGCATATTAGTAGACTTAGACTAGTCTATTAGTCCGGAGCTTTTAGTGTTGTTATCTTTTAATCTCTGTAATCTCTATCAGTTTGTAACAGTTTTGAATTACAATCTCTAATCTGGTATCAGCTAGGCTCCCGATCCTCTCTCTCTCTCTCCACCGTACACCACCGCAAAACTCCTCCCCACCCTAAATGTTGGTCAATTCATCCGATAGAACGGTTTCCGCCGCCGGTTCTCCCTCTTTGGCCACCGCAAATCCCCTTGTCTCTGCTCACCTCCCAAAAATTTCTCTTTTGGCGAACGCAACACACCCTGCCCGCCGTCGACTATCAGCGACGCCGTCCCCGCCGGTGAATCCGCGACTGTCGGCACCACCACGGGACCTCTCCCCAATCCGGCGCACAAATTGTGGGTGCAACAGGATCAATTGATCCTCTCTCTGCGGATATACTCCTTGTCCGACGAGGTCCTCCATCTCTCCGTAGGCCGGAACATCACTGCAGATGTAACACCCCGAAATTTTTAAACTTCTGAAGCTTATATAATAAAGGTAGAATCTTATTAAATCCCAAAACACAATACAAAGAGTACGGGGTGCTATGCCACACCTGAGCTGGAGAACTCAGGTGCACAGGCTAACTAGCTAATATCCTTAACAAAGAGAATGCATAACATGGCACGCAGGCCAAAAAGTAAACTATCTACATCTACGCTCCGAGGTTCTAGCGCGCACCCGTGCCTATTCTTCTGTGCCTGAAAGCCAAATATATCTGTTCAGCGAGAGATGTTGGTAACCCACTCCAACGCGTTGAAATACAATACATATAGATATATATATATATATATATATATATATATATATATATAGATAGATATACGAAAAGTCATTTCGAAGCATGAAGATATATCCTAAGAAACTCTAGTTTTCAAATCAGGGAACCGACGCGACAAATAGGGGTACTGTAACACCCCGTGTTACGATCCCTAAGATCAATTAAATCATTTAATAAATTACCCAAAATAAAGAATTAAATCACAATAATTAATTAGGAAAGGCCCACCATAGTCCACAGGCCCTTATCCCTAAACCCAATCCTTAGTCCCAAAAGGAATAGAATTAACAAGCCTATAATATTAGTCCCTAACTAGGACTCCTAATTATATATATAAGGGACTTAAGAGGCACCTAGAAACCCCCCCACCACAATAAACGTTCCACCACCCCAAAGAGCTCCAAGAATCCCCTTAGAAGAAATCAAGAAAGCAAGAAAGCTTAAAGAAAGACCCCTCATAGCCAAGGAATTAATTAAGGCTAAGAGGTAACCCATGTCTCAACAAAACCTATTTTCATAGCTATGATTCCCCTCTTAGGATTTCCCCATATTATTGTGTATTGATGATTTGTGTTATTATTGATGATTGATGGATAATTCCATGGGTGATCTTGATGATGAAAGGTTCCTGATAATTATGGTGTTCTTGATGATTATATGACGTTCTTGATGATTATATGATGTTCTTGATGATTGTAGGATGTTCCTGATGTTTATATAATATTCTTACCGAATCTTGATATTAGAAGATGAATCGTGACCTTGTTGATTTAAAATTGATTAGAACCCTAGGTTGTATCATATAGAATTATTCTTGGTATATTGGGTGGGAATTCGCATGATTGGGTGTTTATTATGTTTAGAAAAGCATGATAGGTTTTGTGCCGTTTGTTTCCTGATTTTGATCCGTTAATTGTCTACGTGTGTTATCAATTGCGTTTGAAAGTGTCTAAGCATGGTTTCGGGTTCCACAAAGGTTCGCGGGGCGTTTTTGATGAAAAGAGTCAGTGGGGGGTAGGGGACCCGCCACCTACCCGCGGCCTTCTTGGGCAACGCCGGCGGGCGGGCAGCTGCCCGCCGGGCACCCACTGCCCGGAATGGCTGCCGCCGGCGGGCAGCTAGCGGGTGAACCCTCACCCACCGGCTACCCGCTGGTTTGCACCCCAATTGGGGATTTTGGCTTCCCCGTTTGATGTTCCCCCGACCCCCGTGGTGTCCCAACAGACTCCGTCTATCGTGCCTATGTCTAGTTTGATTTTCGGGTACCGTTCGTAGGTCGTATGGGTCTTATATACTGCATGCTAGTTGAATTGGTATCCCGTTGACCTAGGTGAAAGAAATATGAATCCCTTAGGACTATTCTTAGTATGTGAAGGATCACGCATAGGTTTTGTTATACGTTTTCTCCCCCTTCCCAATGTGTTAATGTGGATTGCATGTGTTTGCTATGTGTTATGTGTGCATGTTACCCCGACTTGGTTGAGATCAATCGGGCTATACGGGCAGTCGGGTGGGCTGAGAACAATACCGGCTGTTAACCAGGCTGGTAGAGACCGGTCAGGTATATAAATATTATATAGGACAAAGGTCCACTATACGGGTAGTTGAATGGGTTGAGAACCATCCCAACTGTTAACCAGGCTGGTAGAGACCGGTCAGGTATATAAATATTATATAGAGCTGCGGCTCATCGGTCGGTTGCGATCGACTCCTCCGTGCTGTGAGACGGGGCAGGGTGCTGCGGGGCCGTGTCAGAGCTATATGCGCTGACCCTGATGTATGGGCATGCGATTGGTCCTGTGGCGCCAACAAAGTGTGCTATATGATGAAGTATGGATGAGTTGTTGTTATGAGTATCTTGGGGATGATACAATGAGATTTATACCGGGGATTGTATATGTTGGGTTATGATTATTAATTGTGCTTATCTTATCTGTCTTGCCTGTTGTAAACTGTATATGCTCGGTATAACTGCTGTCTGTGCTTAGCCCTATCTGTTGAGTCTATCCCTGTTTTAAAAGCTAGAGTTCGTAGGAGATATCCTCATGTTCAAAATGAATTTTCATATATCTATATATATATATATATATATATATATATATATATATATATATATATATATATATATATATATATATATATATATATATATCTATATGTATTGTATTTCAACGCGTTGGAGTGGGTTACCAGCATCTCTCACTGAACAGATATATTTGGCTTTCAGGCACAGACGAGTAGATCACTGGAGTGCGCTCGAAGCTTGGACGTAGCTTAGATAGTTTTTCCCTTTCGGCCTGCGTGCCATGATTTAGTATTGATACTATTTGAGGATATAAGTTAGTTAGCCTGTGCACCTGAGTTCTCTAGCTCAGGTGTGGCATAGCACCCCATACTCTTGTATTATGTTTTGGGATTTAATGAGATTTCACCTTTATTTTATAAGTTTTAAATATCCTGAAAATCTGGGGTGTTACAGTTGGTATCAGAGCCTAAGTTGACCCTAGGACAAGACTCTTAAGACCAGACTTTCGGACAACAGGCTCGAACTCTAAGTATTTAGGAACATAGGATTCAGGAATCTTAGGACGCGCGGTGAGACTGTGAAACCTACACATAATCTCCCTTACCTGGAGAAAACTTTCCCCCGTTATCACAAAAAGGGACATCAAGCCCCAATTTAACGTTCTTATAAACATTGACCCAGGAAGACGACAACATGGCACCCAACAGAAGACAATCAAGGACTCCAGAACCCGTCGCGCATGACCCCCTAACCCAAACGCTACAACAACTAACACAAGTCGCCCAAGCACTTAGCGACGTGGCTCTCAGCAACGACAGGCCCCCACCACCTCCGTCAAGCGCAAACGCAGACTTCGCCCGACAAGTCTCTAACCAGCGACCACCCACGTTCTCAGGAGAAGAGGATCCCGTGATCCTGGAGGAATGGATCCGAACCCTTGACAAAATTCTCAGGTTAGTGGAATGCCCAGAAGAACGCCGCGTGGAGATAGCCTCGTTCTACTTCGGACACGAGGCCAATCTCTGGTGGATCCACGAGGGTCCCACTTACCAACAAGAACCGGGGTTCAACTGGGAGCAGCTCAAAACGCGACTACGAGAGCGATTCTATCCAACACACGTGAGGGCATCCATGTACGAGGAGTTTCTCCATCTGAAACAAGGGGCAGCTACCGTCATGGAATACCACAAACGATTCCTTGAACTAGCACGCTTCGCACCAGAACTAGTCCTAACCGAGGTGACCAAAATAGAAAGATTCGTATCGGGCCTCAACTTTGAAGCCCGAAAGGCACTAGTGGTAAGCAGACCACGGACTCTCAACGAGGCCTACTCCAGTGCCGCTAACCTCTACCGAATCCAACTACTCCAACGCGGGGTCCAAGAGCAGATACGAAAGAGGAACCCCGGAGGAGGGGCACCACCAGTAAAGAGAGCAAGAAGCGACACCAATACAAGACCGAGTAACCTGACCAACCAAAGGCCACCCCTGGGGAACAACGACGCTAACACCAGGAGCTTTCCTTGTCCAAAGTGCAACAAGAACCATAGAGGCAAAGATTGCATGGGCAATCCCTTGCGGTGCTTCAACTGCGGAGAAGAAGGACACAAGGCCTTCCATTGCGCCCAACCCCAGAAACCACGCACTACCACCATGGGACAACATGGGGGCACCTCTCATCAAGGAAACTACAGCGCTCCTGGGAAAATATTCGTCATGAGCCGCACTCAAGCCGACCTCGGGAACGAGAACAATCTCGATGAAGGAAACCCAACCCCAGAAGACGAGGACCACGCAGACCCCGTGGGAGAAAGCCAAGAAAACGAATTTTGTCTAGGATAAGTTGGCAATTTCCTTGTAATCACCATCGTAGTGGAACTACTTACTTAGCTTAATTACTTGGAAATATTATAAATAAAAGATTAGTTCGAAATTCGGTCCTATTTACGGGGGGGATAGAACTAAAACTATACAAACTAACCAAACCTCACCACTAAAAGCCGAAATAAGGAAAAGACAAGGGCCCCATCATCAAAAAACCTAGTGTTACCAATGAGAATTGAACTCTTAACCTCCTACTTACAAGACCAAGGTCTTGACCACTAGGCTAGGGGTGTTTCTTGAAACCACAAGGGAACACTTTCTTCTTA